TTGAGGACAACATCTAAAAATATTCTTGATTTAAGAAAGTTTAAAGACAACCAGGTTATTTGATTATTTTTAATGAGTGTACTTTATGTAGTAAGAACCATACATATAACTTTCCAATAATTTAAAAATAAAAACATGCAGCCATCTAAGAACTATGTACATGCAAATATATATATATATCTATCATATATATGTTATATGTTTTCATCATGAATCATGTAAACATTAGCTTTATGGTCAAGAGAATGTATCTGTTGTAATCTGACTTGTAATCTCTCTCTTTTCTCTGCTCTCTTCACATTTTATTCTGCCTTGTCATTTCCTTCTGTTTCAAGATGGGCTTGCCTTTCTCCTTACTTTTAATTTTATTATTTCTTGTTCTGCTTCTCTTTCCATTGCTTGAATTTCTCATTATCCTACCTCTTCTCTAAATTCCTTTTCTAAGGTATGACTCATTTTTGATTTTAACTCACAAAGTAGTGCAGTTGTGTGTGCAGAATAAAAACAAAATAGAAAAATGAAAAAGAAAGATAAAATGTAAATATATTGAAAGCGAGCATGTGGCATCAAGACTTTGGGAAATTTAGAAAAATTTCCACTTATCTTGGGGTAGCCTTACCTGCGAACTTTCCTCTGAGGTTTTAAGAGAAAAACAAGCTGGAAGGTGAATAAGGAATAAAGAGCTTCATGTTATTGATGGGGTGGGCCCATGTATAAGGTAATAGAATCTAATCAACTTACATTTCTTTATCAATAGATTTTGATCATTTTTATTTCATAAAATCTATCAGTAGACTGATGAAAATGAATTTTTTAAGAAAATTTGGATGTACAAATAAAAATTTTAATATTGGTAAATCTGGTTGGAACACATCAATAGAACCCAGTCCAATTGAAGTCCTGAAATGATCACTCTTCTGTCTATGATCTACTTATTTTATATCTATTTGTCTGTCTGTCTCTAATCTATCTGTTTGCCTTAATTTGATTTATATTACTATGATAAAACACCACAATCAAAAGCAGTGTAGGTAGGACAGGGTTTATTTCAGCTTACAATTGTAGTCAGTCATAAAGATAGTCAGGGTAGAAACTTAGAACAAGAATACAAAGGTGGGAACTGAAGCAGACACCATAGAGGAACACTGCTTACCAGCTTGCTCCCTAGGTTCTCACTGAGATTGCTTCCTTCTATCAGTTAGAACCAACTGGATAAAATTAGCACCACTTTCACATCAATCATTAATCAAGAAAATTTCATACAGGTTTACAGATTTGCTCACTATCCAGTCATTGGGTGTATTTTTTAAAATTGAGATTTCCTCTTATCCAAATGACTCTAGCTTGTATCAAGTTGACAAAATAAAACCTATGAGGACTCTATCTAATCTATCTTTCTGTCTGCCTATCTATCCATTTGTCTTAGTTAAAGTTTCTATTGCTGTGAAGAGACACCATGACCATGACAACTCATATAAAAGGAAACTTTTAATTGGTTTGGCTTACATTTTCAGAGTTTCAGTCCATTATCATCATCATGAGACTTGATGGTATGCAGGCATACATGGTGTTGCGGATGAGCTGAGATTCCTACATCTTGATTTATAGGCATCAAGAAATTGTCTGTTACACTGAGAGTAGCTTGAGCATAGGAGACCCCAAAACTCACCCCCACAGTGACTTCACTCTAGTTAGAGAGAATATATGAAAACTATATATTGGAAAGGAGCCATGCCATTAAGAATTTTTCCTACTTCCATTTTTTTGTTTCTGTCCTACCTGGAAACATTCTAACTGCATAACAGGCTGAATACTAGGTTCAAGATGTTTTCCTTTTTGAGGAGTATAATCATAAATCAAATAATAGATGCAGACTATCCATACATAACTCACAAAACACATTCTTTCACTTCAAAAGCCATATAAATCAAAGATAACAGGTGTTACTAAGCTCTTAACCATCTGGCCATTTCCTTTTTGAGAACTACAGTGAGAGCTTCTTATGAAAGAAGACAACCCATCTGTAAACTGTCAAGATCCCGAGAGTATAATGAAGGGATTTTTAGAAATTGGACTAGCAGCTCATAGGCTATTATATCACAGTAGAAGTTACTGTTTTCAAACTTTAGTTATATATAATATACAGAATATTTTCCTGTAGGATAATTAAAAGAGTGAAAACAAATGAGTTTTGAATAATGGAAACAGATTTTCAGTACTGCTGTATGCATTCTATTCCTTTTGGCACAATCATCATTTTTTTCATACCTGACATGTTCCTACATTTAACTGGATCACAAAGTATAAAACGAATTGACATTAATTCATTGAGATTGGTGAGTAAAGATCAGGGTCAAAATTAGTAAAATAGAAACAAGTTAATGTCCAAGAAAGCCAATGAAATGAAGAGTGGTTCATTGAAAAGATAAACAATATACATCTTTAGTCCCAGCACTCACATGACAGAGGCAGGTGGATCTCTATGAGTTCAAGGCCAGCCTGGTCTACAGAGTGAGTTCCAGGATATCCAGAGTTGCACAGAGAAACCCTGTTTTGAGAAACAAAACAACAATAAAAAAGATAAATAATACTGCTAAAGTTTAGCCAAATTAGTCAAGAGAAAGGAGCCAGAAATTAATAAAATTGGAGATTGTAGTTATTTATTTATTTATTTATTACTCTTTTACTCTTTATACTGTTTGTAGGCCCACTTCCCAGCTTCCAAATAAACACATGGAGACTTATTCATACCTATTTAGGCCCGGTCTTAGACTGACTTATTTCTAGTCAGCTTTTCTTAAATTATCCCATCTATCTTTTGCCTTTGGGCTTTTACCTTTCTCTATTTCTGTATATCTTTTCTTTTCTTCTTACTGTGTAGCTGGGTGGCTGACCCCTCGGGTCCTTCTCCTTCTTTCGCTCCTAGATCTCACTCCCAGATTTCTCCTCCTATTTATTTTCTTGGACTGCTAGCCCTGCCTATCCTGTCTCCTGCCTTGCTAATGACGGTTCAGTTCTTTACTAGATCATTCAGGCAAAGTAACACAACTTTATAGGATTAAACAAATGCAACATAAAATAATGCAACACATCTTTGCATCCTTAAACAAATGTTCCACAACATAAAACCTTGTAATACATCTTAAAATAATATTCTACAATGGGAAGGGAAAGGGAGACATTGGAATAAATATCAATGAAATTATCTCTTTATGTTAGGAAATCCAGAAGAAATGGATGAATTTCATCCATTCCAGAAAAAAATATATATCCAATTCACATATATATAGCCTGATAAATGTAAACTGAGATGTGACAAAGGAATTTAAACAGATTTGCAGCAAGCAGTGAAGTTAAATAAGTAATTTGAAAAACAAAACAAAAATAACCCTCCCAACTAAAAAAGTCAAAGCGCAGATGAAATCACATTTAAAATATGACCCATTTAAAAAACCCACAGATTTCTCAGACCATTATGTAAAATAGAAAAAAAAGGAATGTTTTCACACTTTCTTTTATCCTAATAACTAAACCAGATACACACAACACACGCGCGCGCACACACACACACAAGAAAATTACAGACTGCTCTCCTTGAAGAACATAGATGCAAAAATAATCAATATTTTCAAACTCAATTCAAGAACATATTCAAAAGATCATTCATCATTGTCAAGTTGTTTTAATTCCAGATATAAAGGAATTGCTCCGCAAAAGCAAATCTATAAATGTATAACGCAACACAAATGAACTCACAGACAGAAATTTCATAACTGCCTGAACAGATGAAGGAAAAAAGTCTTTGCCATAATCCAACAGCCCTTCAGAAGAGATGAGGAGAAGAGGGAATGTAGCTGATGTAATAAAAGCTACATACAAGTATCAAACAAAATCATTGATTCTCAATCTTACTAATGCTAGGACCCTTTAATATAGTCCTTTGTGATATTGTGACCCCCAACCATAAAGTTATTGCATTGCTATTTCATAACTGTAATTTTGTTACTGTTGTGAATCGTGATATAAATATCAGATATGCAGGATATCTGAAATGTGGCCCCCAAAGCAGTTAAAACCCACAGGGTGAGAACCACTGCTCTAAGCCATGAAGGTAAAATCCTTCTGTATCTGCTTTCTGAACAACCGTGGTTACAGACCCACACCACTAGGCCTAGCTTGGTTTGAATCTTTAAAGTTAGACCTTAAAATTGTAATATGTACCTTGTTACTTTATATAATTCTATGAGAAATTCATACATTCTAAACCCTCCAAGAATGCAATTACATAAGAGGACTATTTTTGAATACTAAGTTATATAATGCCTCTGAAATCTATAATTGTTTTTGGCAACGAGGAAAGAGAAATGGGATGTTTGTTTGTTTGTTTGTTTGTTTGTTTTACATTTCAGTTTTGGGTGAAGTTTGTTTTTATTTTTAGAACTAAAGTGTCTACTGTTAGATAAAGTTAATTTTACTATTTTGCTTGCAGGGAAAGTCAGCTTCAATAGCTATACTGACTGTCCATGGTCATACCATCAAGGATACAGGCACAGGTGCTCTGGTCTAGAACTCAGGACCACTCTGCTCTCCCTTAAAGGGAAGAGATGGAAGATCTGGACAACAAAGGAAGAAGTGGTGTCATTGTATTCTAGTGTTTTGTTTTGCTTAAGAAAACACAAGCAAAAAACCCAAGTCCACACCTCAATTCTAATCATACCTCCCCGACTGGAAAAGTGCAACCTCTGAATCATCACCAGTTGTGCGCTCCCGGGCCCTCTATTGCTTGGAGCTTCTCTGTGCAGGCATTGACAATTACTTCATTGTGTGGCAATGACTGGCACCAAATAGACCGTGCTCCTATCAGGCTACATGAAGCCAGCAAACCTCAGTCAGTAAACCTGTTGGGCTTGTTTCCTTTTTGTCCCCAGTGACTGTCATTATTTTCCAGCCTCCCAGCCCTGACCTGGCTGATAGAGATCAGATGGTGACTGGATAGAAGAAGACTTCCCAGTCTTGGGTCCATGATGTACGCGTAAGTACTCAGCTTTTCTCAGTGAGCTGACAATGGGGACAGATATTTACATCACCTGGGACAGGCTATGCAGATTCTGACTGGTAGAAGCTATTTTAACTCTATGAGATTATATTTTGTGTTGAAGTTTTGTCTCATTGGTTTTTGAATGAAACAGAAGGGACCAATGTGATGTTTTCTTTCTAAATAGAAATTAAATACAATATATTAACAGTATTATGTTTTAACATTCAGAAAAAGCTATGCTTTGGTGAGTAAAATATTAAACACAGTTTATTTGATTTCTTACTATGCTCAACATGATATGTTTTTAATAGTATAGTCTTTAATTATAGGACAACAAAATACAAATTGAATAAGAAAGAATATTAATTTTTTTATTTGTTTAATTCCAAGAAAAAGGATGACTACAACTAATATATATATGAATATATATATATCATTTATATCACATAAATAAAATGGTTAAATTAAAATGCTTATGTGTAAACAATTAATGAGTTAACAAAAACTTGAACTTCAAAGTAAATAATCACTTACTTGAATTTTTATTAAAATTATTAATTTTATACAGCAATGTTTGTGTTATTGATTTAAACTGAAAGGATAATTGATATGGGATCAATGATTTCTTTCAAATTCCTATTTAGCCCAAATTTGCTATTTTATTCTCTCAAATAGGCGCTTAGTGTCTCTCTATATAAATTTCCCATGTTTTCTTTGATCAATGTGTTAAACATAATTCTGATTTTGTGATTCTTTTGATTGTTTAGTTTTGAGCTTGTCTTCAATGAAACATAATACATTAAGCATATGAACTATCATATTCTTAAATAAGTATTTTTTACATTCCTTAACTTACCAATACCAGCATGAGCCCGAGGAAGACAGTCCATTTCATGCATAAGGTTGACCTAGACAGATCCTGTCCTAATAATATAACCCACCACAATACCCATACTTTTAGGTATAAGAAAGTACATTACTTAGCAAAATAAAATGTACAGAAGTGAATATTATATGTTAACAATTTCAATTTAAAAAGGCATATCAAAGAACCTGAAGTCTTCATCCACCTTTATCTCAGAATTCAATGGCATGCCTCTCTAAAATCCTGACTCTCTTTCCCTCTCAATTTATGGCATCATCTATATCTACTTCCCGACTCTGTTGTATTATTATAGTCTTTTTCTACTCAGGATTTTTTAATTATACCTTTTATTAATATCTTCTTCTACTCTGACCATTTTATTATATTATGTTACATTAACGCTTCCTCAGATTTGATTCAGAATGAATAGTTCTGAGTATTGACGTTTAGACAAAAGTTGCTTTTTCTTTTTATTTATTCTTCTCTCATACAATACGTGCCGACCGAAGTCTCAACTCCCTCCACTCCTCCCAGTTCCTACTCCAACTCCCTTCTCCCCAATATCCACTGCTCTTTCACTTCCCTACAGACAAGAGCAGCCCTCCCAGGGTTATCAACTGAAGTTGGAATAACAAGACGCAATAAGATTAGACACAAATCTGTCTGTGCCTAGCCAGGCTGTCATTAGAGAGTCTTCCTCAGGCAGCTGTGGGAGCAAATACAGAGACCCACAGACAAACATTAGACAGAGCTTGTGGAACTTGGCAGAAGATGGGAAGGAATTGTGACTGAAAAGCATTTTTAGCACAGATAGACTACCCCATACTGTGAATAGATCATGAAGACAGTATGAGGCTAGTTAGTGGATTCAATAAATTCATTAGCAAAGGTACTTTGACCAAGGGATCTCATTTCAGATAGTAAATAAGAGAGAAAGCCATGCTTCTTAGAAAAGTCCCTGGCTCATGTTGAAGAGAAGAGGGAAAGGAATTATTTATTTGCACATGTTTTAGAGCCAGGTTTCCACTCATGTTTCTGGGAAAATCCTTTATCTCTCAAGACTTCACGTTAAACATAAAAGTTAGGAGGGGGTGAGAGTAAAACAGAAGGGCTGAGAGGGCATAACCATTAGCAGAATTTGTGATTATCTTTAAAGATGAATACAAAGCTATTTTGGGAGTTTGTTACTGGTTTAATTTTGACATTATTAGTTTCACTTAAATAATAATGAGGTACTATTTCATATAGTCTGCATTTTAAGTAGTAAGCTTTTCACTGTGGAGATGTTTACGATGTGTGAGTCTTTGACGGACAGCATTTTATGTTATTTTTTTTTTTGTTCTGGGTCTTGGTCAAAAGTATTTCTAAATCAATAAGTCAAATAATCCTAAATTCCATATAAATAATTATATTCTGTAATATCAAAGAGCTAACAGCTAGTTAGCATTGAGAACAATAACTTCCTTAAAGTATAAGTGATATTTTAAATCATCCCAGAGTATAGCTGTCTATTTTTGTTTCATTTCATCAGTCACTTCATGTGGTACCCCCTACAAGTGAGGCAGTGACAGGAGCTACTGTTAGCAGAAAGTAGAAAGTGGTGCCGAGAGACAACTTAATAAACTGTACCTGGATGGTTAGATGTGATATATGTAAAAATAAGAAGCATACAGAGGTTGTAATGAATCTGTCTGTCCAATCTCTTTAAAGGATCTCTAAATATGTAGGAAATGATGGTTGTTTATAAAAAAACATGTAGAAATTAGTTGGAGGGAAATAAGCGTATATTCTGGACTAAGTCAGTCATTCAAAGGCGTGAAACTTTAAACACATTTCCAAGGAGACCCTGGGAATTATCTAGTTAAATTAAGATTTAGGAAGGGTCTTTGTATCAGATTAAATATCTCTAAAGTTCATTATGAAAGTCTGATAAAAATGTGAGGAAGGAATGATGAAATTTGTTCTTTAGAGCTCTACGGGAAATTGCTCACCTAGTGACTGTATTGTTACTTGGCTGCAGCAGGTAAACTTGATAAGCAGAGAGGTGGGGTTCCACCTGCTCCTGGATCATTTCCTCACCTATAAGGAATGCACCTTCCCACATTTCGTGACACCCCACGGTCCTCCTTCATGATACTAATGAAATTGCTGGGAGATTGCTTTCCTTTAAGCTGCTACAATAGTCATTTCTGAAGCACAGCCATTCACCGCAGACACACATAAAACACTGAGCATCTGCCAATCGATATGTATCTCTCTATGTATTTAATTGCCCCTAATCATGTCTCTCCTGGTAAACAGGATGTTTTCTGTATTCCTAGTGCTAAGCATATTTCCTGTCTCATTGCAGACCCTCAGTATTTGTGTGGTATTCATGACTGCATATACTAAAGCTAAGGAACAGTTAAAGTAGGAAAGGTTAAGGGTAAATGAAACATGCAGGTTTCTGATTCATAACTGATTAACAATGCAAATAAAATATAACAAGCAATTCTGAAGATAAATAAAAAGCTTAAAAATAGAGATATTTTATTCTATGTAAACCTGTGTTGTTCTGCTGATGGAAACTTATCATTGGAGAGAAGAAGGCATCAGATAAATGTTGATTAACTAGATTTTGATTTCATTCATAATTCAACAAATATAGATTATAGTATTCTAGTAATACAGTATATACACATTATATGGCTACCTAAATTATCTACACATATATGCTGTGTGTATCTATCATATGTGCACACATATAAATACAAAATTATATAAAAGAATAAAAGTGCGTATATACACTTTTTAGAAAATATGTTTTCTGGTATTTCAATTCTAAGGAAGAAACATGATTACAACCAAACTAAAGTGAGTTATGAACATCATACATGTGAGATGAAGGTTGCATATCTTTTCCCTTGAAAAATTTCCAATTCACTTTATTTATTTATCTTCCAAAGCCAACTTTCGGGTTATATGTTAATAGTCTATGAGAGTGGTTCTCAACCTTTTTAAAGTTGCAACCCAATAAATAGTTCTTCAAAATGAGGTAACCCCCTCCCCAATTATTTTCATTGTTACTTCATATCAGTGATTTTGCTACTCTTATAAATCACGGTGTAAATATTTAATATATGTTATGGTCTTAGGTGACCCTTGTGAAAGGATCATGCGACCTTGAAAGGGGTCAAGACCCACAGGTTGAGAACCACTGTTCTATGATGCACTTTTCATTTATTTTGACAACTAATCAAGATCAAAGTTGTGAAACGTAGTTCAAAAACTTTACATATTGTTGTCATCTATTACTTTGCTCACCTGAGAGTTGAAAAGATCTAAAAAACATCTTTTAATTGTATTCAAGAAATGGAGACAAAGAATGTAGAAACGGGATCTGGGTTGAAAAGAACTGTTTCTTGAAACAGTCACTTTTATATTGTCTCAATTGTGTGCTTGATAAAAAAAACTTCGTTGCAAAGTTCCTGCATTGAGCGTGTTTAAAATGTAGGACCTTTTTATTTTTACAGAGTTTCAGTGTTATAATTGATTGCTTATTATTGCTCAAATAATTTTTCTGGCTCATCTTTTTATTCTTTTTATTTATTTATTTATTTATTAAAAATGTCCGCCTTCTCCCCGCCTCCCATTTCCCTCCCCCTCCCCCTACTCCCGTCCTCCTCCATCTCCAGTCCAAAGAGCAGTCAGGGTTCCCTGCCCTGTGGGAAGTCCAAGGTCCTCCTCCCTCCATCCAGGTCTAGGAAGGTGAGCATCCAAACAGGCTAGGCTCCCACTAAGCCAGTTCATGCAGTAGAATCAAAACCCAGTGCCATTGTCCTTGGCTTCTCAGCAGCCCTCATTGTCTGCCACGTTCAGAGAGTCCGGTTTTATCCCATGCATTTTCAGTCCCAGTCCAGCTGGCCTTGGTGAGCTCCCATTAGATCAGCTCCACTGACTCAGTGGGTGGGTGCACCCCTCGCAGTCCTGACTTCCTTGCTCGTGTTCTCCCTCCTCATTGCTCAAATTTTGAAATAACTGACTTTGAGGCAGTCATTAATTTATATGACATTACAATTAACTTAGAAAGCAGTCCATATTTTGGGTATCTTTTTTTTTTTTTAAGATTTATTTATTTATTATGTATACA